AACATGTTGTTACTCAGAGTATCACGCTATGCAATCTTCAGACAACTGACACATTTCAGGACTTGTCTCAAAATGTAGACATGAGAATAAGTTCTATTTGTCCTACTTCAATAGGGAAGCAGGCTGAAAATAGGTCAGTTGTCTGAAGATCACATAGCGTGAAACTGAGTAACAGTTATTTTTAGGTTCTGTTTTAATATTTCTATATCGCTCTACAAAACACCTGATGGTACTTCTCATTGGAGGAGTCCACAATTATACAGCTTTTACTCCCGAACTTGGCATACTTTTGACAAAATTAATGGAAGTGTCTTGCTTGTACAGATTTTTATTTTATTAACAGATGTATATGAAGAATGAGAAAGCATTTGAACATGATGTGTTGAGATTTCTGATGAGAAATGACATCCAGTATCGAGGTTTGCCCAAACTACAAAATGCACCTGTTACCCTCTTTCAAATTTATTTAGCTGTTCATGAAAGGGGAGGCTACCCAAATGTAAGTTGAAATGCATAGCTTTTACCTTATAGGCCTTAGTATAAGATACTGTAATATAATGGAGTTTTTATATTGTTAACTTACGGAGTTTTTATATTGTTAACTTATGGAGTTTTTATATTGTTAACTTATGGAGTTTTCATTTTGTGAACTTAGGGAGTTTTTATATTGTTAACTTATGGAGTTTTTATATTGTTCACTGAGTGAGTTTTTATATTGTTAACTGAGGGAGTGTTATATTGTTAACTTAGGGAGTTTTTATATTGTTAACTTATGGAGTTTTTATATTTTTAACTTATGCAGTTTTTATATTGTTAACTTAGGGAGTTTTTACATTGTTAACTTAGGGAGTTTTTATATTGTTAACTTACAGAGTTTTTATATTGTTAACTTAGGGAGTTTTTATATTGTTAACTGAGGGAGTGTTATATTGTTAACTTAGGGAGTTTTTATATTGTTAACTTAGGGAGTTTTTATATTGTTAACTTATGCAGTTTCTATATATAAAAACTCCATATATTGTTAACTGAGTGAGTGAGGGAGTTTTTATATTGTTAACTTATGGAGTTTTTATATTGTCAACTTATGGAGTTTTCATTTTGTGAACTTAGGAAGTTTTTATATTGTTAACTTATGGAGTTTTTGTATTGTTAACTTATGGAGTTTTTATATCGTTAACTGAGGGAGTTTTTATATTGTTAACTTATGGAGATTTTATATTGCTAACTTACAGAGTTTTTATATTGTTAACTTATGGAGTTTTTATATTGTTAACCTATGGAGTTTTTATATTGT